TAGATGAATTAAACCATTTACTTCCTCCCCCCCTCCCCCCCATACTTTGGTTTTCATTTGTCAGTCATTTTTGGAAAATGGAACATTTCAAATCTTCCGCATAATGGGAGCTCACTCCTTGAGTTAACATAATTTATCTTTTTTCTGATTCCATAGTTTGTAACGACGTCTTTAATCTGCAGTAGGCTTAGGACACCAGATTTATTAGTGCTCAACCCCAGAGTGTCAGGGGTTGAAGGAGATTTAGACTCTGGTTTTATCTAGCCATCTTATGCCTGAGAGTGGTTTACAAGGTAATTAATACAGGGGCTCTGGTTGGAGTTAGTGACACCAAGTCCCTTCACGAGGGCACTAGTTTGTGATGGTTTCTTCGCAAGCTGAGGGGCCCTTCCTGCTGATTTTTAACCATTTTGGAGTGTTGACCTTGTTGAAAATCTGAATTATGGTAACGGATTTAGAACCATCTGACATTTAGATGTTAATGCAATGGGTTAAAAAGAGAAATAAAACTTCCTTTTTTCCTTCAAGGTCCTTATGTTATGGCCAGTGTTGCAACAAAAATTTTTCAAGAATTGGTGGAAGGTGTATGTTACATACATAACATGGGAATTGTACACAGAGATCTGAAGGTAAGTGCTTCGTATCAGGGAGGATGTGGTGTTGGTTCATGAACTGAATGAAATTACCCTCTTTTCATTTACTTAGGGGGTATCGTTTTTATATAAATCATCATCCCATGAGTCCAGAACTCTAGGTTCAATTTATTTTATTTTTTAAAGATTTTATTTATTTGTCAGAGAGAGAGCAGTGAGTGAGCTGCAGGCAGGGGAGAAGCAGACTCCCTGCTAAGCAGGGAGCCCTATGCGGGGCTCGATCCCGGGACCCTGGGATCATGACTTGAGCTGAAGGCAGATGCTTAACCAACTGAGCCACCTAGGCATCCCTAGATTGAATTTAAAGGCAGCGATCTTTGGGCATTCAGAAGTTCTCTGTGGAGAATAGTAGTGTTTTTCGGGTAGTGCGTGTGCTTTGGGTGCTTACGTAATAGATGATGTTAAATGTATTTAATGCTGACGAAAATCCTCATGTTATTGTAGCCTCAGAGGTAAAATGTGCTTCTACAGTTATGTAACATAAAGGAAGTTTAACCTGGGCAATTTTTTTCTGCTGTTTACAAAAATCTATGATTATTCCAGTTTTTATCCACAAAAGACTATCAAGGGACAGAAAATATATTTACTTCTTTGGCAGAAGAGTTTTAATTTGCTTACTTTTTGAACAAAGAAAGTAGATTGTGGAAAATGCCTTTAAAGGAATATTTGGGAACAAAAAGTTAATGTGCAAATCATTTTATTTTTTGAAAAAAAGTTTAAGAACCCGTTTGTACATCTGGGAGGTACACGGTGATGAGTTGAGTGTTTTCTGGGTACAAGTCTAGCCAGAGAATGGAGTGTGAGTTACTGAAATTCTGTGGCTGGTGAAACTTTGAGGTCCTATTTCAAGAGGTAAGCTAAGTCATAATAACTATATAGAGAGTTCCAGATCTTCACTGGGAGAAGTTGCTTTAAGTGTTGTTTGTATTTGTCACCGTAAATGTTTCTGATGTGTCTTTTACAGATGTCCTCTAGGGATAAGGGTTTTTGAGCTAACTTTATTAGGGTTTCCCTTAAGAGGCGGAATTCTGGTAGCATGATTCCTGCAGGTAGAATTCCTTGGTTATTGGTCAGTCTCAGAGGGTAGGAGCGGTAGAGGAGCCTGGCGAGGAGCCCTGTGTCCCTTATGTTGGAGCTGCGCTGGAGGTACATGTATATTGGAGACTCCCCGTTTCTCGTTAATATGTTAACGTTTGCTTCAAATTCGAGCAGGAGGTTGATGATGGCCTCTCTGCCTCCAAAGCATGCCTCATGGATAGCTGTTTGACCTTCGTGGTCCTGGGCATTTACTTTGGCTCCGTGAATTAGCAGCAGACGGATGCAGCCCACCCCCGCGGCCAGCAGCCTGCCTGCTTTGCTCGATGCGGTGCACACCGCCAGCTTGAGAGCCGTGCTCCCCGTGGAGGACACGGCGCAGTTCACGTGGGCGCCACAGGCGATCAGTGTCTCCATCATCTCCTTATTCAGTATGTCGGCAGCCATGTGCAGGGGTGTCATGCTGGATTCGTTAACAGCGTTGACATGGGCACCATTTTGGGCTAAGATGGAGAGGACTGGGTAGGTCCCGTAGGTGATGGCCAGGTGCAGGGGTGAAGGTTTGTTGCTGTTGTCCACTCGAGCGTTCACCTGAGCTCCGCATTTGCACAGAATGCAGAGACACATCACAGCATTGCTCTGAATGTCTGTCAGGATCCTTTGGATTCTGTTCCCTGGTTTTGTCCACGTGGTAGAAGTGATTGGCCAGTGCAGTAGCATCAGGTGAAGTGCGGTGAGGCCTCTTGTGTCCCTAGAATAGTGATTGATGGCAGATTACACTGTATTCACAGTGGAAACGATTCTATACAAAGCATTAGTACTTAAGGCAATGCTTGTTTAAAGTGATTCCCCTCGCCTGCTTCAAAGAAGTGTTTGTAAGTCTGCGTTCGTTTTTTGGGATATAACAGCATTTCAGGGGAGCTCAGGTGCCATGAGGGTTTTACAATGGCCATCATGTGCTCTACTGAAATCTCAGGGTTGCCTCCAGAATTCCTTTATTTTGGCAGAGAAAAGGCAAAGTTTGTTACAGACACCTGATTGCTTTGCTGAAGTTTGAAACTGATTTTTAGTTTACGTATATTTATTTAATGTAAGTCCCCATGCTAGGGAAATGATAAACAGCACGGAGTCCCTGCTTTTGTAGGGCTCGACCGTCCAGCATGACAGACATGAAACGTATTGAAGTAACTAGGTCAGTATTGCAAATGGGCAAAGTTCTAAGAGGTAGGAATGCCCTAGAGAGTGTACTGAGGAGCCCCTGTAGGGGAGGGGGGTGTGTTGGTGACGTCCAGCCGCGGAGGACTGGGAGAGAGGGTCTGCAGAGCTGGGTAGGGCCATGCAGGGGTGAGGGTTCCAGCCAGACAGGCTGGCGGGCTCTTCTGGAATGTGCTGAGGATTTGAGGCTTTCCTTTCTGTTAATGTTACAGGGGCAAGAAGTCGTATAGTTTTCACACCATGTGATTCTTTGTTGGTACTTGGTGTCAGGCATTGGTTTAGGTGGTGAAGACTATTGGTGCATGAGATAAACTCAGCTTTGATGAAGTGTTCTTTCTAGTGGGGAGAATAACAAGAAAATGCATTGTCTGTTTCTGTTTACTTATTTTCCATACCTAACTGAGGGTTTTAGCTCCCCGAGGGCTGTGGCCAGCACTTCATGCATTTTCCGCAGCATCCCTGCTAAACGCTTGAAGTGGGCTGACTGGCTTGTGCTCCTGCATCACTGCCGGTTTTTCCCAGTACCTCGTCTAGTCAGTAAGGAGATTGGTTCATTCAAGACATGGTCATGGTATTTTGGAGTCCATAACCCCCGAAGATTGGGTGAGTCCAGACATGACCGGGGAGAGGAACATGTAAATCACGCGTATCCTCATTTAGAACTGATCGCTGTTGAGTTCACTTACCTGACTTCCGGGTCAGCGCCATGTTCCAACAAACAGAGCAAACTTTGTGCCTTGCGGTGTTCGGCGGCCAGGTGAATGGGGAGGATGGACTGCGTCTGCTTTGGGGGAGAAAGCAGACCACTTTACATGTAGGCCTGTGCAGGGAGAAGCAGTGGTCATGTACGCTTGTTCTTTCAGAGGAAGTAAGTGTATTTAGTATCTCCAGGTCAATATTTTTCTGGTGTGTGATTGAAATTTTCTTTTTGAGTGTTTGAAAAGAGCCCAAACCAGTAAGATTCATATAAAATCTGTGTTTTACAGAAATCCATGTTTACCCGTGCAACAGAAATAAATCATGTAAAGCTTTGGAAGTTGATTCCCATGGAGAGCTCATAGTGTAAAATTAATGGTGATTGCTACTAAGTCACTTAGTCTTTAAATTAACCCACAGGGTGATTGACAAGTAGGTTTTGTGTTTTTTAAGACTTTGCCAAAGTCGGGGTGCCTGGGTGGCTCAGTGGGTTAAAGCCTCTGCCTTCGGCTCAGGTCATGATCCCAGGGTCCTGGGATCGAGCCCCGCATCGGGCTCTCTGCTCAGCGGGGAGCCTGCTTCCCCCTTTCTCACTGCCTGCCTCTCTGCCTACTTGTGATCTCTGTCTGTCAAATAAATAAAATCTTAAAAAAAAAAAAAAGAAGACTTTGCCAAAGTCATAGTATCAGTAGTAAAACCTGCATTTACAGGATTTCAAAGATAGCGTAGCATGTCTTCCATGACTAGCAGGGCTGTTTATCCTGGCTCTTAAAATACATCCGTAATAAGTAGTGACTTTTATGGCATGACTGCAAGGTACAGGAAGAAGGCGGGGTAAAGGAGACAGTGACTTTGGGAGAAAAAAAATTAAATCTAAAGGTAATAATCATTGTATGAAAACAGAAAAACAAAAAAGCCTATGTATAAAAAGGAGAAAAATAATTCCTTCATATAGATGTAATCACCACTGGTATATTTGAGAGAACGACATTAATGGTCCATCAGCCAAATGGATTCTCGTCTTTTCTCACATCAGTGTATGTGTGGCAATTGGAAGGGGGGTGCGCAGACTTGGAAGAGCCCTCCCTGGGCACGGAGGGTGCTGGAGGCAAACTGTCCCACCGCCGACCGGCACGTGGGGGCCCTGCCTGGGAGGTTTAATGAGCTCACGGCAGCGAGGTTGTGGGCCTTATGAAGCGTGGTGTCTTTCCCCTGCAAGTGACAGAGCAGAGAGGAGGGTACCTGGTTCAGAAGCAGTCGGTGGCTGGTGGAGTTGGCCAGAATGGTCATGGGCTGGTTGACGGGGTGGCTTCTCAGAAGCACCTGGATTGCCGCGCAGTCCTCCCTCAGGATGGCCTCATGGAGTCTGGTGTGGAGGGCGGCAGACGGCCCTTCTTCCAGGGCCTTCGCACCGCCAGCGACCAGCTCCCTGCTGCCTCTCTTGGTTATGTTGCCCATGAGCAGAACTTAAGAGTGGGGACTCGGAAGTTCAGGGGACACACAGGATGGAATTGTTCCATTTCAGTCTCATTGTGATCCCTTCAGTTCCATTCTAGAACTGTTCTAGAACTGTCCAGAGTCAGATCTGTGAACACAATTCATTTTTATTTCAGACCCAACTTCTTCAAACTTTGTTTCCAGGTTATACAGTGCCAAAGAGAAGGAGTTTTTTGTTTGTTTGTTTAAGATTTTATTTATTTTTTAGAGAGAGAGTGAGAGCACCAGCGGGGTGAGGGGCAGGCAGAGGGAGAAGTAGGCTCTCAGCTGAGCAGAGAGCTTGTGTGGTGCTCGATCCCGGGACTCTGGGATCATGACCTGAGCTGAAGGCAGATGCTTCAAAGAAGGAGCCACCCAGGCACCCCCTGAAGCAGTTTGTGGGACTTGACTCAATCACAAAAACTTAGCCAAATTATCATCTTAGACATAGGGTTATTTCTGTGTTCTCTTCCATTTAGCTATTTTTAAAAAAAGAAAGCTAAAAGAGGAATTTCTACAAGAAAATAAAAAATTAAAATGACTACATTTAAAGTAAGAAAACCCAACTTTTAACATAAATATATTTTATATTTTATATATTTTATATATCCTCCCCCAATGTGGGTACCGGATTATTTCCACTGGGAGAAGTTTGCGGTCTGCCCCAGTTGCTTAAATGGTGCTAAATGCATACCTTTCATAACATGACCTAGTTGCCCCCAACCCTGGCAAACATAAAAGAATCATCGAGGAGCTTTTAAAAAATACCAAAGTTTTCTCATTAAAAATTTGAAGAAAATCAGTCTTTGACTTGTTAGAGAGGACAGTAGTTTCTAGAAGCTTCTCTGGGGATTTTGATGCCTAGTTAGGGCTGAGGAGCTCTTGTGTACAAAGTGTGCTCTGCGTTAGTGGTTCTCAAACTCGCAGTGCCCTGGGGACTTTTACATAATATTGCTGCCTGTGTCCATCCACAAGAATTCTGATTGTATTGTTCTGTGGAATGGCTCGGACGTTGGGACTTTTTTTTTTTTTAAAGCTCCCCTGGTGATTCTAATATGCCACTGAGTTTTAGAACCACTGCTCTGATCTTTAATTTTTGAGGGGCTACTTGCTCCTGAGTTGAAAACTTTTAACATCTACACATTTTTACTGTTTTAAGAATACCAAGGAGTTGTTCTGTTTGTTTACAGCCCCGAAATATTTTCCTTCATGGCTCTGATCAGCAAGTAAAAATAGGAGACTTTGGTCTGGCCTGCGCAGACATCATACAGAAGAACGCAGACTGGATCGCTAGGGATGGGAACAGTAAGTTTATTCGGGTTGCTTTCTTTTCTTTTCTTTCTTTTTTCTTTTATCTTCTTTTTTCTTCTCTTCTCTTTTCTTTCTTTCTTGCTTTGAGAAAAAAAGAAACACGACTGAACTCGTCAGTATTTAAAGAGACTCTTAGACTTAATGTAATCGCAAAAGTAAGGTAGAGACAAAAGGCAGCCATCTTTCCCTACAGTGCCCTGCTCGAGTCCGTGTTCCTTAGTGTTGACAGTGGGAACTCTGAAGTGTTTAATATTTGGCTTTTCAAATTACAGGGACACCCACGCACACGTCCAGAGTGGGTACTTGCCTGTATGCTTCGCCTGAGCAGCTGGAAGGATCCGAGTATGATGCCAAGGTAGTATGTGCTGCTTTCCCCCATGGCTGGGCTTGCTCTGCTGGCCTAGTGACAAAAGCACCGTAAGCGCAGTGGAAGGTCTTGTGTTGAGGTGTGTTTGGAGGAAACAGAGTAGGATAGGTTGTCTGTTACATCAAACTGCCACTAACAGGAAACCTCACTTTTTACCTGATTCTGTCTGCACTTCCAAATCTGTGGGTGTCCTAAATTATTTTTGAAGTGAGCTTGTCTTTTAAAATGTCACAGTTCACGTCAGGAAGCCAGAATTCCCAGAAGCCTGTTTCTGCCTGTCTTTCTTCTGTTCCCACAAACACACGCTCACTGATGTAACAACAGGAAGTGTGGCGCTTGCCTCCCTTTGAAGCAGAATGAAGATACTGAAGAGTTTTAATCCATTTTGTTCCTTGAGGGAATGGTAAAGGAAATCCTTTTCTCAAAAGAATAGCCTAATAAGTTTTCTTCCTTTTGATGAATCGTTTAGTTTTTTTAGTGGCAGGGCGTGAACTGCCAGAAAAAGACCATGGCTCTTCTCAAATCCTACCTGGTAAAGACCTTCCTCGAAAAACGATTTCAGGAAAAGTAACACAGATTTGATACAGTGTCTTCAACTTTACCAGAATGATTACCTGTGTGTGGAGGCAGAGAGGAGGGGAGCAGGCCTCGGGGACACTGACCCCTGCAGCTCTCCCCAGCACGTGTGAGCTCCCATCTCTCGGGCAGGCCGCTCCACACCGGGATGGTCAGGGAGTGTTGGGGGGTCACTGGTATGGTAGTGACTGGGCGCTGGGGTTCTCCCTGCCCCTCACCCGGCTGGCCTTTGTGCCTATGGATGCCCTTTCTTGGTATTGAAGAGATGGGGATTGTGACGGTACCAGTCAGTTGTCCCTCAGGGCCATGATTATAGGCAGCAGACACTTGGTTCTGCGAGGGTTAAGCTCACCCACTGTGTTCCCTGCACCGTAGGGTCTGTAAATTGTCCTTAGAAATCTTCTTGTGTTTGAGAGGATGGTGCACTGAAATGGAGATGTTAGTCTCTCTTTGTGTTTCACCACTAAATTCTCTCTTCCCTGCTTTTTCCAGTCAGATATGTATAGCTTGGGTGTGATCCTGCTAGAGCTCTTTCAGCCGTTTGGAACAGAAATGGAGCGAGTACACGTTCTAACAGGTTTAAGAAGTGGTCAGATACCCGACTCCCTCAGTAAGAGGTGTCCCGTGCAAGCCAAGTATATCCAGCACTTAACGAGAAGGAACACATCTCAGAGACCGTCTGCTGTTCAGCTGCTGCAGAGCGAACTTTTCCAAAATTCTGGAAATGTACGTACATACATTTTTTCTTTCTTTCTTTTTATTTTTTTTTTAAAGATTTTTTTTTTATTTATTTGACAGAGAGGCAGGCAGAGAGGGGTGGGAGAGCAGGCTCCCTGCTGAGCAGAGAACCTGATGCAGGGCTCCATCCCAGGACCTTGGGATCATGACCTGAGCCGAAGGCAGAGGCTTAACCCACTGAGCCACCCAGGCGCCCCTCTTTTTTTTTGTTTTTTTTTTTAGTATATGTGCTGCCGAAGCGAGCACTTTTTGTTTTTTTTTAAAGTAATTTTTATACCCAAACCCACAATCCTGAGATCAGGAGTCACATTCTCCGCCGACTGAGCCAGCCGGGAGCCCTGAGGAAAATACTGAGGAAAACATGAAGCTTGAATTAGAATTTAAATTGTGAATCCAGTTTCATGAAGAACAGTTGAGCTTAGAGTAAGGTTTATAGAATTAAATTCATTCTCATAGTTCCCAGAAGCACAGTCTTCATAGTCCAAGTAAGTGGGTGAGCACAGCCAACATACCACATCAGAATCTGCGTTTCATGAGATCCCCAAGTGATGTGCCTCCACAGTGTGTGAGCCACAGTGCGTTACATGCACTGGTCCTCAGATTGTAGTCTCCAGGCCAGCAGCATAAAATCCTTGGGGACCTGATGGACTTCTCAGGCCCTCCCAGCTGCCCTGGCTTATTAAGGGAGAAGTCTGGGGGCAGAAGGGGCCATGGCCCTGTGTAACAGACACCTGAAGTTATTCTGACGCACACTGGTCTGGGTGCTGTTTGTAGTAACTGTTCTGCTGATTTATTTTCTGTTTAAGGCTAAGTTTCGGGTAAAACCGTGAATTTTACTAGCTTTAGTGGTAAACAGGAAGGTGTAGTGTCTTTGGAAACAGCAGATGTAGTGATTAAATTTATCTCCTGCTATGGGAGGGATTTTCTAACTCCCAGTTAAGTTAGTTATTAGAGACCATAGTTATTTGGCATTTATGGTGTTTCTCTCGTAGAATTTTTTATCAAACAGCCTCCACATGCCTATAGAGAGAAAACTTGTGTGGACAGGCGGTCTTTGGTTTGCGTGATCGTTGATTACAGGACTGTGAAAATGACCACGCTGAGCTCAGGCCATGCAAGGGGATCTTAGTAATCCACGGGAAGTTACGGCTTCCCTGTGACCTTCAAAAGTGTTTCTCAGAATATTAAAAACTGTCAGTTGCGGAGGTATGTGGAAGTGAAGCAAGTGGTAAAACTACTATTTATTTAGTGCCCTGTAATTAACAATTGACATGCTCAAGAGTGGTTTGAACACTGCTTGCCCTCAGCTCGCCATAGAACCTAGGATACAGAGGGAGGGTCTTTTCTAGGCCTTGGTGAACTGTCCACTCCTTTCTAAGCTTGGAGCAGCGGCCCAGGTTTTATCCTTTGCACTTTCAAAGTTGTGAGAGACCTCTGAGAGTTCTTTCAATGTGAATTTTGCTGGTGTCAGTTTCTCTGGGACATCGTCATCCTTTTCCTCATTTCTGCTAAATCCTCTTCACCCGGTCCTGGGGCTGCACACCCCGTGTGTCTGGTGGCAGGAGCAGCACCCCCTCGGACGGCCGTTCCTTCTCTAACACCACACAGTGTAATTTGATGCCACCACCAGCCTCCTTGCTTTCCCTTAGCTTGCTGTTCTTCCATCTTTGTTGGCCAGTGCCACGTTGTCAGGACACATGGAGGCAACACAGCTACACACATGGCCTGGGTATGTGCGGTGAGAAAGTGATGGCTGGCCCCTGGTGGCGACATGCGTCGTGGACTGAGGCGCCGAGTTAGTAACGGAGCCTTGGGGACCCAATGGTGGTGCGGCTTCGTGAACTGCGGGGCCTGGAATTCAGGCATACCAGGCAAAGGGAGGTAGGCCTGTGTATTTAAAATGGAAGAGGCCATTTTAATGGAACTTAAAATTTTCTCTTGACAGGTTAATCTCACTCTACAGATGAAAATACTGGAGCAAGAAAAAGAAATCGAAGAACTGAGGAAGCAGCTGAGTCTCCTTTCCCAGGAGAGAGGGGCCAAGGACGACATGAAAGACGGGGGTGTGCCTGACCTGCCTTAATTAGGCTCCATAAATGAGAATGTGGACTTCTCGTTCTCTGGTGAACTGGAATGTAAACTTGGTCAGTGTTAGAGGATAGATGGTATAGTTCTATTTAGTGAGCCTGGATAAGACTTATTAAAGTTGTAGAAGTTCTCCCAAACTGTGTTCTTAAGGAATTATTTTATGATCCAGCACTTTGAACTGAAACCTGCTCGAAACTAAACCTGTCTTGCTCTTTTCCTGCTCTTATCCCACAAACTCCTGGTTTTTAGTATCACTGTCCGGTCTCCGAGATTTAGGCACCGTCCTCAACTCTTTCCCCTTTGAACGCTGCTCACCACCAGGTCATCCTCTAGAACGTCCTTCCGCGTCCTACCCCGTCACCGCGCGCGCTCGCACCCCGGCCTGCATCGGCTGTGGCTGCCGCCCGTTGGTTACCAGGAAGACGTCCGAGGAGCTCACTGCCCGGCTCTCAGCAGCGCAGCGTACCTCCTCCAACCTTCATGCTCTCTTCTGCCTGGCATCACTCCAGACTCATGCCCTTTCTAAACTTTGTGTCTCTTGCCCCTGAATCTCTAAATCATCCCCAAGTAGCTCTGGCAGGAGTGTTCCTGTTTTCGCCCCTGCACCATTCCCAAGGCGTCCCCTTTACTCAGCACTCCCCACCGATCCACGTCCCTCAGAGGCCCCAATGGGATTCGTTCACTTTTGCTTCTCAAAAAAATGTCTGCACGCTGGCACGTGCCCACGACGTGGCTGAATTTTAAATAAAGCGAAACCCACAAATCATAGGATGCCTTTATTGATTCTAGGCAACTGGCTGAAACACGCTGATTTTAGTACAGGTTCCTTCACCCACGACAGGCCTGAGGCAGCAGCACCGTTCTCGCAGTCAACCTTTTACAGTTAGGGAAACTCACTGGAGGAGCTTGAGGGCGGTGTTGAAGGGCGCCAGGTTTTCGCACGCCCTCATCCACTTCTGCACGTTGGCCGGCACCGTCCCTCCGCAGCTGCCGGTCTGCTGCAGCACTGACCACAGCACCACGTCGGCCACGGTGAGTTCATTCCCCACCAGCCAGGGGCTCTTTCCGAGAGCGGAGTTCATGGAGCGGAACACGGCGGCTTTCTCTTTACTGCTGCCTTCTTTCAGCTGAAAGATCGCGATATCCACCCAGCTGTCTATGAGGGTTAAATTTACGGCGTCCTGCTTCTGGCCAAACAGAGAGAACAGGAACCGTGCAATGTTCCCTTCTCCTTCGATGGGACACATCGTTTGGACGCTGAACTTCATCTGAGTCTTCGGCACTGAAAGGCAAGAAGCACACGGTGTCTGGTAACGGCTTCAATGACAAATGGGGAGAGGGCAGGTGCTGAGGATTGGGAACCGGTGGCAAAGGAACGAATTTTCATGAAGATCACGTTTTGTCTGGTTTCCAAAACGTGTTTGATCAAGAAAGTTTGAACTTGGAACACAAGCTCTATGTTTAAAAAAAGTCACCATTTCTGGTATTTGATTATGACCATTTTCAAGCAAGAAGGGACTGCAGACCTATTTTCCAACCTCTGTGCCTCAGAACTTAGTTGCAGGATGAAGACTGGAAACCAGGAGTCCCTGTCTGCCCTCATAATGCTCCTTTTCCAGAACCAGCCCACACTTCCTAGACTTGCAAGGACTGTGACCCGACAGCAAGTAGCTGAAGAACGTCCTGGTCCTGGCCCCTCGCTGCCTCTTACTGAAGTCAGGGAGCCCCTCTCATTTCAGAGCCTACGAGCCCCGCCCCGCCCCCTCTGCTTACCATTCTTCCAGATCAGAGTAAAACCCAGCTGATACTCGTGCCGGGGCTGGTTTTTGGCCTGCTCGCCAAAGCACCTGAGGAGGTTTTCTGGCACGCTCTGGACTGCGGAGTGCGTGTGCACGGTGGACAGGACCCTGTAGTGGTCGCACAGCAGCCTGTGCAGCACCAGCAGGGACAGGGGAGGGGAGGCCGGGTTTGCATTGATCACGATGTCTTTCAGTGCCCCGTAATCCTGCAGGGGAAGCCCAAACACAGCGCAGACCGTTAGCAGCCACCTCAGTGCCTGGAGTTGTCCCCGGCGCTGTTCTCGGGGCCTCCCCTGGGTTACTGAACGGAGTCCTCACCGCCCACTATCACCCCCACCTCCCAGCTGGGGCGGCTCGTCCTGGGGAGGCAATCTGCCAGCTCACGGGGCTCAGTACGAAGTGGAGCAGGAATGTGAGCCGACTTCAGCCCTGAACCCCGGCGCTGTTGGCCCCCGACAAAAGGCTGACTTCGCTGTGAAGTGAGTAAAACAACACGGGAAGAATGACACTGTTCCTAAGTTATTTAAAAAACAACAACATACATACAGCCACCCCATTTACCAAATCTTTCCGACACCTGACCGCCCGACAGCATGGTTTCTACATGGGTTTGCCTGTGAGTCAATGAAGAGTTCCCTGAATAAGGACCTGGTTCCAAATGTCACTGGCGACGGCAAGCAGGCGAAGTCTGAAAAACTTGGCGTTAACTAAAGGACTAAAACATACTGCCTTTTTAGAAGCGGACTTTATTTTATGCATTTACTCTATAATAAACCCCTTAATACCATGGAGGCCAAATTCAAATTCCTTGGCTTTCTGTACACAGCCCGCCACGATCTAAGAGTCTTATCACTACTAACCTAAGCCCATCACGTCAACCTATTCATGAATGCTTTGTAGTTCTCTGAACTCGATGCTATGCCTTCGGAGGTATCAAAATTCACCTTAAGCACCATGTGCCCGGGGAAGCCTTCCCAGCACCTGGGACACTGGCACAGCTCTGCGTGACCACTGATTTGTCAACTAGACTGGCTCCCTGGGGGCCTGGCAGGGTCTCTGGGTCCTCGGTGGAGGCAAACCTACCAGGTGATCAAAGAACCTGAGTGCAGAGGGTCAGGGTCACCCAGGAGACCCTGCAACCCTGCCTCCACCTGTTAGGTCTTCACGCAGTAGCACTTCTACCATCAACTCCAGAGGATTCTTGGGATTCTTTCATCTTTCGTACTCTCAGTAATACCACTTAGAAATAAGATACTCTTTCTTGCCTATCAGACTGTCACCTAAATTAGCCAAAGCCCGCAGACTATCTTTAGAGGTGGCGGATGCAACTTAATTCTAAGACTGCAAACTGAACGTAGCAAAAGACACCTGACCCATGAGACAGCCTGGGCGGTCAACACTCGGATTCAGGCTGCTCTCAGAGTCATGATGGATTCACTGAACCTGAGCAGCACAGAGAAGACACAGGTCTGTTTGTGGGGGCTTGGAGGCTACTGGAGTGATGCCCATCTCTGGCCTGCGTCACACACTGCCTGGAATGGTGGGGAGCTGAAACTCAACTCCTATCCCTGCCTAGGGATCCTCCCAGTTCTTCTCCACTGGGTCTGAGAAGTCAAGCAGCTTTAGAACTTGCTTTGGCTTCGCTCATAGCTCACAAATCTCTTCTGTGCAAAGGCACGATCATTTAGGGGAGGAAAAAAGAACATGCTTTCTGTACCACCTTTGAGAACTAGAAAACCAAAGCTTGAATCACATGAGCACAGTTTTCCAGCACTAACAACAACCTAGCCGCTGGCGTCCTCTACAGATCTCCAGACAGACTCACCTTTCCGAGCACTGAATTTAAGTCCAATGCGCTGGCTGAGAAAGCAGTGGGCTCATCAGCTTGGATTATGTTGGTTACATCCATATCTGCATCTGGTGTCTGAATCATCTTGGAGAGGCCATCAACGGCAGCTTTCAGTTCGTAGAGACGTTTTAAAATGTCATCTTGGCGGGACTCAAGAGCTTGAAGAGAAGGGTCAGATTCTTCCTAAACAAACCAACATCAAAACGTTCATTTCCTCTAAATCACGGCAGTGTTGAAATTTGATCAGTTGTCTTCTACTGAATTCCATGAATTCATCAAACCCCCCCATCTCTGAAAAGATATTAAAACGAGGCAGCAGAATCATCTCGTTTTTCCCATAGTCCAAGAGGTCCTGCAAAGGGATCCCAAATGCTTTAAAACAAAAACACGTGACTGAAAGCCATTTTGAAGTTGTAGGACTCGTATTTCAGGTAATTGAAGAACAGAGCATGGAAAATGAACCCAAATCATTGTTCTTTATTCTTAATGTCAAATCAGTTCAAAATACTTTGCTTATTTAACAAATAGAAAAACATTGGGGGGGGGCAATGAGAATGTAACTTAGCAATTTATACCAATTGAAGGGAAAATGGACTACAGGGAGGCTGAACAAGATGTGTCATTTGACTTGGGAATGTAAGTCCATGGGGTCAGATGATCAATTTCCCCAAGTCATTCTCCACAGAATACTGGCAATCTTCTATCTTAGAATCATCCAGAACTTTTTCACTGCTGAAATGTAGAACTTCCGAAGTATGGAATGCTTACGTCCTTTGTTCACTGAATCTTTGCATCTTTCTTGCCTGGTATAGTGACTGCTACAAAGTAACCAATAACATTTGCTGAGGAAAAAAAAAATCTCAGATCTTTATTATTATTTTTTAAACATTTTATTTATTTGACAGAGAAATCACAAGTAGGCAGAGAGGCCAGCAGAGAGAGGGGGAAGCAGGCTCTCTGCTGAGCAGAGAGCCCGATGCAGGGCTCGATCCCAGGACCCTGAGATCATGACCTGAGCTGAAGGCAGAGGCTTAACCCAGTGAGCCACCCAGGAGCCCCTGGAATCCACTGGCTTCTAAGCTTGCCTCAGCTGTCACTGCCCAAGTTCAAGACACCACTTTCACCTGGCCTGCTTCCACTGGTCACCTCTCCAATCCACTCCTAAGATGGCAGCCAGAGAGATGAAAACAAATGTGGATCACATCACTGCTCTTTCTTGTTAACCTCACAGGCTCCTTGCTGAAAAGCAAAGCCCTTAACTAGGGTTGAGAAATAGCCTGTGTGACCTGTCCTCTGGCCATCTGCTCTCCAAAACGCTCCCCCTGTGCTCTCCACTTGCTGTGCTGTCCTTTGGGTCCCTAAAACGCACCATGCCCCCATCTGCCACAGGGCTTTTATTCTGTTCTACCTGGGACACTCCTCCCTCTTCTCCTAATCTGCACTTTCTCACCTCCCCTCCACTGCCACTCTTGTTTAAGACCAACAGCAAAGAAATTTAAGATGCTGACCTGTAGGGAGAGGAAAGAAGCATAAAGAGTTACTTCAGCGTGCCAAGGAATTAATTAGGTGCTGACTGGAAAGAAGTCTGGGTGCAGGGTGCGACAGGCAGGGCTGCTAGTGTGTAGTATCTGTCTGTTCCTCGGTGATAGTCCTCGAGGAGCATTCCAGTCCCTTTTAGCCAGTCTGATTTGTGCACTGTGTGTGCACAAGCTTGCTCAATTCTACAAACGGGAGTAGGATCCCTGATGAACCTGGACAAGGAAGTGCCTACTGGATTCCCCACCCCAGTCAGCACAGTAAATAATGCATGAAACAAATCCTGCATTTGTAACGTGGCCTGGGACTGGGAGCCCTGGACAGCTCGGTTTCACCCGTCCTGATGTGAGGAATGAGGAAATGCTCGACATCTGCTTTACCTGTACCCCTTCCCTTGTTTCCCTGCTCAGATTAGATCATGACTGGGCATACTGTGTTTATCCATTTCTTTTATACGCATTTCAGAAACAGTTTATCCTTTGTGTTGCTCCTATCTGCCTGTGATATGCTTGATTTCTAATTATTTTTTTTAAAGATTTTATTTATTTATTTGACAGAGAGAGAGAGAGATCACACGTAGGCAGAAAGGCAGGCAGAGAGAGAGGGGGGAGCCTGCTTCCCCCTCACTCTTTGCCTGCCTCTCTGCCTATTTGTGATCTGTCAAATAAATAAATAAAAATCTTTTAAAAAACCCAAACAGTTCTTTAAAAAAAAAAAAAAAAAGCCAAGGAAGTTAAACTGCGCCCCCCCCCCAAAGGACTCGGTATCAAATGAGATGTGACACTTCCCACTCCAGGTCTGGGTTTTGTTTTCAGTTCCCTGAGGCGGTGAACTTGAATGGCTGTGGATCGTGGTGCTATTTCCGTCTTAGCTCCCTCATGAGACAACAACTGTGTCACTGTTTGCCAACTAACCCAACTACCAGCCTTCCAATCTAGGCAGAAGACGCAAGACAAAGTGAAGGAGGGGGCCCCTGGGAGGTTCAGTCAGTACCTCAGCTCAGGTGGTGATGTAGAGTTGTGAGTTGTAGGCCTGGGTCTGCAGCCAACTTAAAGCGAAGGATAACACCCCAAGAGAAAACAGACTACAAAAATCACCTGTTCCCGCCTCTTCAGCTGGAACGGACCTAAGCTTGTAAACCCAAGACGTGCAACTTGCAGCCAATGAAAACCAGAAAGGCTTGGGCAGACACTTTACAAAAGAGACCACCAAAATGACCAGCCAACGCGACAAGGCGCTCCAGTGATTGAGAAGTCTGGAAAACCTGAACTAAAAACTACATGGGGCGCCCACGGTGCACCCACCAGCGTTGGGGAGGGTGCAAGCACCAGGAATTCCGCGCCCACGGCCGAGGAGCACACAGACCTGCACACACGCCGCTCGGGGGAGCGTTTCACCCGGTCCAGGTGAACACAAACCCCGCACCCCGTCCCCCGGCAGCCGGCAATCCCACCCCAGCCCCCGCTTCCGTGCACGCCCCTGGTCTACAGCACAGACCGCCGCTCACGGAAGCTGACCCGTCCCCAGCGGCCCCGGGAGCCAGCTCGGCGGAATGCAGCCCAACACGGCGGGGCGCAGACTCAGGACACACGGACCACCGAGGCCGGGCACTCGGGGCGCTGACAACATCCTGTTAACTTGGGTGACTATGGGGTTCGCTTTAGAATTCCTCAAAATAACGTGCTCCTCACTTTTCTGTAGCTACAATTTGGCAACAGAAAAGCTTTAGTAGCCATAAGCGGAAACAGAAACAGATACAAGAGAACTAACTCTTTAATAAACAGAACGCGCACACGAAGCTGACGCAAGCGTCGGGCCGGGGTACTGCCGCTAGGTCGGATCCCATGTCCCCCACGTCCTCAACCCCACTGGCCCGGCCACGACGCCTGCGCACTGGGTGGAAGACGGGCGGATGAGACTAGGCGCCTGCGCACTGGACCGGGTGGGGGGGGGGAGTACGTTCAGAGCGGTGGGGGCGGGGCGGGGCCGCGCTGTCCTACCTGCACGTGGCCTGCGTCCGGCGCCGGGCTGCCTGTCCTGCCGTGCACGTTGGGGAGCCGGTACATGCAGGTGGGAAGCTCTACACGGAGGGACGCGCTCCCACCGTGATAAGGCTTTACCTGGTACATCGGCATCCTGGGAGCCGAAGAACGGAAGGGGACGGGTGAGGGACACGAACGCTCAGAAACCGTCGGACACCAAGAGAACCCGCAGCCACCTCCTTTCCGATCCGGCTGCGGCCTTTCGGGAAAGCGCAGTCCGCGAGGTCTAATTGGCTCGCGCCCTCTGGACGTCACAGCCTCGACTTTTTACACAACCAATCGGCAAGAAGGGGGTGTGGGAAGCGACGGAGGCCCCATCCGGAAGGGGCGGGGCACGGTGTCGGAAGCAGCCAATGGGCGGCAGGGAGGCGGAGCCTCCGTGGGAGCTGCAGCGGGAACTGTCTCGAGTCCGGGAGGCGGGTCGGGTTCTGGATCGATGGAGCTAGCGGAAGGGCAGAGGTGAGCGATGCGTGCGGTGTCCCCTCGCGGTCGCCATCCCCGATGCCCACGTCGTTCCAGACCCCTGGAAGGGAGGGAAGGAGACCGCGGCGCTGGGGGACCCCGCGGAGGCCCCGGAGCGGGCTCCTCGGCGCTCCCCGGACCCGCAGCTCTTTCGAGGGCGCTTTGCGGTCGGGGTCGGCGGGGAAATCCGGCCGGCTCCCAGGCAGTTTCTGCCTAGACGCCTGGACGTGTCTGGGGACTGGCAGCGGGAGCACGACATCCCAGGAAACTGAACTCACTCCTTTTCTACCTGGTTCCTCTATCTCTTTTTTTTCGTTTGTTTTAAATTGAAATTATTTGGGGAGGCTTCAAGGCACATGCTAATTTGCATAGCCGCACAGGTTTCAAAAATGCAGAAGTTTGGCATCTCCTTGAATATATCATTGCTGGCTAGTAACCCAGTTCGGAGGGGCGAGTGTCCCGGCTAGTCTTACAAATTCGCTGTCCCTGTTTAAATATTTCATCCCCCGTCCTCAAAATAAATATCAGAAGTGGACTTGTGACCTATGGTGTGTTGCCGAATAAGTAAGTGTCAGAGACACTTCTTTCCATTTTGTGTTGTCATCTGCAGTTTCCGCATTTAAGAGAAATCTGAGAGAAGTTTCTTGCAAGGTAGAACGAAGAGTAAAGATGTTTGTTGCTTGTTTTACAAGGGTTTATTGAGGGTCTGCTGTGTGGTAGCAGTTGTGGAGACTACCCAAAGATTTCTCTCGCAGGGAGGCTCCTGGGTTCTACCACATTGTCAATTAAGCCTCTTACAAAAAAATTGCTAAACTAATGAACATAAGGAATGTGTTCTTGGGATGAGCAGGAGTTTGCCAGGCAGAGGAGGAAGAGGGGAATGCTCTAGACAGACCTGTGTGGACAAGGAGAAGTGTCTAAAAGAGCTTGTGATATTCAGGAAGGTTTGTTATAACTAAAATATAGGGGAATTGGTGAATGGAGGATTGAAGAGAACGAGAGAAAAGTAGATTTGGGTCCAGTTTTTCATAGGACTAGATTTTCATATAACAGACAATGGGATGCTAGTAGATTTTTTTACCCCCTAAAGTTTATTTATTTATTTTGAAAGTAATCTCTGCACCCAGTATGGGGCTCTAACCCAGGACCCCAAGATCAAGAGTCCCATGTCCTCCAAGTGATCCAGCCGGGCACCCCTATACTAGTAGATTTTTTTAGGCAAAGAAGTTATTTGTCCAGATTTGTGATTTCTTAAGTAACGGGTAGCATGGAGGGTGGGTTGGAATAGGGAGAGAGTAGAAACAGATTGGTTGTGAAACTCTTAAGGTAGGTACAGCAAGAACGTTGCGGGTTTTTGCTAAAGCAGCAGCTGTCAGGCTGGACTTGGAGGGGAGATTCAAAGGCCCCAATGGAAATAGTTATACAACAGGTACCCAGTTTCTAAGATGGTTTTGGTTTTCACATAAACACTGTGTATTTCCCAACGTGCTGTTGGGTTTTCCACTGGTGGGAGAAGTGTTGCTTTCACTTTTCAGAAGAAGAACCCATTGTCGCCGAAGATTATTGACCCATTGGTGGAGGGGTACTTGTGTTTCCTCCATGTAGATCCCAGCATAAGTAAATTTCTAAATATCCATTGCATTGGAAGTATCTATTCAGAAGATCTTTTTTGATGAAAGTGTAAGAATTGTAGGACAACAGGTATATTTGTGAATGTAATCAATGGATATGTTAATATAATAAATGGACATGTTACATGCATTAGCTATTAGTAGAGGTGAATCATTTCCTGGATTTAAAACCAAGATGAAAATACATAAGTGCATCCTCACTTTGGTTCTCATAACGTGTGTTTTTAGCACAGAACTTGCTAAGGCCATCAAACCTATCGATCGGAAGTCAGTCCATCAGATTTGTTCTGGACAAGTAGTACTGAGTTTAAGTACTGCTGTGAAGGAGTTGGTTGAAAATAGCGTGGATGCTGGAGCCACTACTATTGGTAAGTTCGGGAGAGTCTTAGCCACAGGGAACCATCAGTTTTTACTCTTTTATTCAAGAAACACTTGTGATCGTAATAAGACTATCAAATGTTGGTAGACTCAAATTTTATTTAATTTTATTTTTTTAAAGATTTTATTTATGTATTTGACAGACAGAGATCACAAGTAGGCAGAGAGGCAGGCAGAGAGAGAGGAGGAAGCAGGCTCCCTGCTGAGCAGAGAGTCCGATGCGGGACTCAATCCCAGGAGCCTGGGATCATGACCCGAGCTGAAGGCAGAGGCTTTAACCCACTGTGCCACTCAGGCGCCCCAGAATTTTTATTTCTTAAACTTTAATTGAGCATCTCTTAGGTGCCTCATACTTAGGTAGATAGTAGTAGTCACAAAAGCAGTTACCTTTTATTGTGTTCTTACTAATGTGCCACATGGCTTTTTTTAAGATGCAGAACAACCTTATGAGATAAGAGTTACTATTATTGTAATTTTACCTGTTTTACAAATAAGAAAATGAAGGCACAGGAATTTACTGCTTTTGAGATTCCACAGCTGGGATCATATGATTCTGGGAAGTCAGATTCCAGTGCCTCTTCTCTTTAATGACTATGTTAAAATTATCCTTTTGAAAGAAAGGTAGGAAGGAAAGGAAGAAAATGAAACTATTTTATCTGGGTTAATAATTTGCCAAGAGGGCCTTTAAAAAAATGGAATATACCAAATGACAATAGTACATTTAAATGAGTATAGTTATGACTCACCTTTGTGTTAGGTAAGTTATAAATCACGTCACTATAAAGGCTTTTGATGGATGAGTTCTTTGAGAAATGAGTATGTTAACTTTTCAGATCTTAGGCTTAAAGACTATGGGGTGGCGCTCATTGAAGTTTCAGACAATGGATGCGGGGTAGAAGAGAACAACTTTGAAGGCTTAAGTAAGTTGAATTTTTCTCATCCTGTTTTAAAATATTTGGGCAAAATGGTTCAACAACTTTGAGTCACACTGTCTTCGGAAACACAAAAATGACTTTTAGAAACCAGTTACGTTAGCAGGTGTTGTGCATAGTCAGTGGTTTATCACTTGAGACGTCTTGGGTCTTACTGTGTACCTCTCTTTCAGCTCTGAAACATCACACTTCTAAGATTCAAGACTTTGCTGACCTAACTCAGGTTGAAACTTTCGGCTTTCGGGGAGAAGCCCTGAGCTCACTTTGTGCACTGAGGTGATGGAATATTTTTGTCTACTAACTTGACTCCTTATAAAAGTTCTCTCTGAAAATGAAAATGTATGGATTAGAATCATTGCTTATTCTTTTCTATCCTGAATGCCTCAACTTCTAACTTCCACATTCTGTTTTATTTTACTGTCCATCTAAGTGGTTATACTTCCGAAATGTAAGCAACGAAATGAAGTAAATACTTTTGTAAAGAAAATTGTTGCCCTTCTCAGTGTCAAAATAGCACAGAGACTGTAAGTTGTAGACGTGTTGGTTTTGGTTTATTTAAACGTTCAGGAAAAAAATTTTTTTTAAAGATTTTATTTATTTGCTAGAGAGAGGGAGAGAGGGAACACAAGGAGGGGGAGTGGGAGAGGGAGAAGCAGGCTTCCTGCTGAGCAGAGAGCCCAATGAGGGCTCAGTCCCAGGACCCCGGGATCATGACCTGAGCCGAAGGCAGACCCTTCACGACTAAGCCATCCAAGCGCCCCTAGGAAAAAAATTTAACCAAAGTTCTTAATTATGTATAACAGATTCTAAATTTATATGAATTGTTATTTATACATTGGAACTATAATATTTTTTTGATCCTTGTTAAAAGTTGTTAGAACAGTAGGACTAAAACTGAGAAATACATCTTTATTCATTAATAGGTAAACTCTGAGATCTTTTATTTTGCAGTTTAATCAAAAAACAAATATCAAAGCTTTGATCAAAACAGAGCATTTACAGAACTCTGTGTCTCACTGTCTGCTAGGTACGAAGCCTTAGATGCTACGATGACCCCTCACTCATGGAAACTTTCTTGGATGGTCTCAGAGGATTCCACATTTTTTCTGGAGGGGTTTTAGAGGACGAAAGTCAGAAAAATGAGCATGTGATTCGCAGCCCCTGTGAGTTTCTGACCCCGTGGCGCCTGCTCTCTCTCACAGTGATGTGACTATTTCTACCTGCCACACATCCGCGAAGGTTGGGACTCGACTGGTGTTTGATCACAATGGGAAGATCGTCCAGAAAACCCACCACCCACGCCCCAGAGGGACGACTGTCAGTGTGCAGCAGCTGTTTCACACGCTTCCTGTACGTCATAAGGAGTTTCAAAGGAATATTAAAAAGGTACCGTCAGTCCAGAACCCTAGCTTCCCAGAGCCTCGGTGGCATAACATGCACGAAACTAAAGTTAACCCTTTGGTGAATTCTCTTCCCTGAATTTTTCTGTAAAGTGCTTGGTTTGCCTTTTCCCACGAAAGCCTGTACTTTAGGTTGATTTACCCCCCACCCCACTTTTTTTTTCTTGGAAAAAAAAAAAAAAAAAGAAAAAGAAATCACCAAGGCATATTTATT